AGCGTCAAAACATCGAATTGTTAAACCATCCACCGTATAGCCCCGACCTAATCCCAACGACTTCTTGACGTTTCCAAGGATCAATAATTCAATGCGTCGGCAGCGATTCCAGTCGCCAGAAGAAGCCATCAATGCCTTTAAAATAGCGATTTTGCAGGTGTCAACTGAGGATTGGAATAACTGTTTTACCAATTGGTTTGAACGTATGCAAAAGTATATCGATCTTGGTAGAACATGTTTTGAAAAACAAAAAAGTACTTTCAAATCTATATATTTTTTTCTCTTTATGGCTATATGCAAAACAAAAAGACAATCCTTGTATTGTTCAAATTGTTTAGTTCATGAACACAGTTATTTTTAGCTGCCAACCTTGCTTCGATTTCTTCTTCGGTTAATATGGTACCGAGATATCTGAAATTATGTACATCTTCGAATTTGTTATTACTTTCGAAGTTTCCATCATTAGCAAAGGCTAAACGTTCATGCTTCCTATAGTAAACTAAATTGCTCATATTTACATTATCCATTGCAATTTCCACATCTGGAATTTACACTAAATAGTATCGAGGGCAGTGAACCTCCTTGTTGTAATCCTGTTCTTACTTTCAATGTACTTGATGTTTATTAACACTCTTGTTCTGCCTTCTCTATTGTTGTGCGTCAACTTCCCTAACGCTATTATTTTCGGATTAGAATAATTTTTCATTAATTCTTTGAATAGTTTACTTCTTTTGACTGTACCATCATCATCATCATCAATCCTCAACCTCTTACATCCACTGTTGGATATAGGTCTCCTCCATGTTCTTCCACTGTTCTCTATCTTGCGCCTTCTGTATCCAGTTTCCGACTGTTTTTCTCAAGTCGTCCATCCATCTTTTTGGTGGTCTGCCTCGTGTCTTTTGTCTTCTCTAGGTCTCCATTCTATGAGTCTTTTGGTCCACCTATTATCATTTAAACGTGCTATATGTTCAGCCATCTCCATTTGGCTTGTGCAATTTTTTCTATGACATCTGTCACTTTAGTCCTCTCTCTCACTATCCTATTTGGTACCATATCTCTTCTAGTTATTCCCAATATTGCTCTTTCCATTTTTCTTTGGGTTACTCTCAATTTATTTGCAGAATGTTTGGTTAAAGTTATTGTTTCGGAACCATATGTTATTACTGGCAGTATGCATTGATTGTAAACCTTTTTCTTCAAGCAAATCGGTAGCGTTCCTTTTAGAATATCTTGCATCTTGCCAAATGCTGCCTATCCCAAGCCTATGCGACGTTGGGTCTCACAAGTTTGATTGTCTTTTCCTATTCTAATTTCATGCCCTAAATAGATATAGCTAAAGACCTGATGTACTTCGTTCCCATCTACCCTCATAACATCACTTGGAACTAAATTGGTCATGTATTTTGTTTTTTCAAAGTTTATGTTCAGGCCTATTTGTTCTATTGCCTGTTTTAGTTATTCCATCATTTTGTGAGCTTCATTTAAAACTCTCGGCTATAATGACAATATCATCTGCAAAGCGCAAGTGGCTTAAGTATTCACCATCAATATTTATTCCCCTTTTAGCCCAATCTAGTTTTTTAAAGGCATATTCCAGAGCTGCAGTGAATAGTTGGGGGGAGATGGTGTCGCACTGTCTAATTCCTCGCTCAATTCTATATTTATCGGTAAAGTCATGGAGTTTAACAGATGCTGTTGCGTTGTTGTATATATGTTTTATCAAATTTGTATATCTATAGTCTACTCGGCTTTGTTCTAATGCTCCTAATACTGCCGGTAATTCCACGGTATCAAAAGCTTTCTTGAAGTCTATGAAAATCAACGAGAGTGGTTTATTATATTCGACACATTTTTCAATTAGTATTTTAAGTGCTTGTAGGTGGTCATTTGTTCCATAACCTTTCCTAAACTCAGCTTGCTCCTTAGACTGATAGAAATCTAATTTTTGTTCTAAACGTTTTGTGATGATCTTGGTAAACCATTTGTAGAGATGTGACAACAGACTTATCGGTCTATAATTCTCTAGGTCTGATATATCTCCTTTTGTGTATATGAATAGTAATTGCTTTGTTCCATTTTGTACGGACAATACCTTGGTTTAGACATAGGTTGAATAGTTCAGTTACTACTTCCAGCAGTTTCTTGCCTCCTACTTTTAACAGCTTCTATTACTATTTGGTCATCTCCCGGAGCCTTGTTGTTTTTCATTTCCTTTAGAGTTCGTTTAACTTCTTCTATCGTTATGGTAGGCAGAAATTCGGATCCTTGGTTCATTACTCTGCGTTCTCTAATTTGTGTTTTGTCTTCTTCTGTTAACTGGCTTTTGTATTATTCTTCATAGAAGCTTTTTGCTATCTCTACTATTCTCTCTCTATTTGTTGTTATATCACCTTCCTTGTCTTTTAGTTTAACAATTTCCTTTTTTACCACCACAAAGCTATTTCCATTTTGCTCAATCACATTTTGTATTTTCTCAGTATTATACTTCCTCTGATCTTTACGAATTGCTTTTGAGATATCTCTGTTCAGATTTCTGAGTTCAGCTGAGTCGACTTTCTTGACTGTACCATAAGCTTGTTTAAAATGAACAAATTTAAATAAAATGTAAGTTTCTTGAAATGCACCATACACAAAAAAAGGAGAATATTTGAATGCTCTAACCACAAAAGAATTACTATTCCTTTAAGTGCAGCTCATAGAATATTTTCCACAATACTATGGCACCATATGCAGAACGAATTTAGCAAAATACCAAGCTGGTTTCAGAGGTGTTAAATCGACAATTCATCAGATTGCAACCCTGAGACAAATTTTAGAAAAAAAAAACACTGGATAATGACATAGATACTCATAAAATATGAGTATATACTGAATATACTGAGGAAAAAAATAGGCAAATACCAATGTGCATTCCGAAAAGAAAGATTAACAATTGATCAGATTTTCCTTCTCAGACAAACCTTAGAAAAGGCCTATGAATAAGGAAATGATACCCACCACCTGTTCATAGATTTTAAAAGCGCTTATGACAGTGTAGACAGAAGCGCACTTTATAATGCCATGGCAAAACTAGATATTCCGTCGCATCTAATAACATTGGTAAAGGCAACTCTTTTGAAAGTCGAGTGCAAAGTCAATGTACAAAACAGAGTGTCAAGGTCTTTTCAAATACATATTGGATTACGCCAGAGAGACAGTCTAGCGTGCCTATTGTTTAACATCGCGCCAGAAATAGCCATAGAGAAATCTGGCATAACAACCAGAGGTACGATCATCAATAGAAGTGTACAGATATTGGCCTACGCAAATAACATTGACATAGTAACACGGACAAAAGGAGACCTGATACAGGCTTTTGACATATTAGAAAAAGCCGCGAAGACAATGGGACTGCAGGTCAACGTATTCAAAACAAAATACATCAATGTTACGAACAGCACATAAATAGCGTCACCACAAGATCTGGTGACAGAAGCACACACATTCGGAGGGGTCTCGGAGTTTATATATCTTGGAACACAACTGAATAACAGCAACCTAGTAAGCGTAGAAGTTAAGAGAAAAAGATATCTGGCGAACAGAGCTTACTTTGGCCTAAAGCAGTTCTTAACATCACACATAAGTAGCAGAAAATCCAAGAGACATGGACTATGGTAAAAAGCGACGAAGAACTGTTAGGCCGCTTTGAAAGACGAATACTTAGGCACATATACGGAGTAGTACAAGAAAGCGGGATATGGTGCAGGCGCTACAATTTTGAGTTATATCAAAGCTATGAAAAATGCAACATCGTCCGGTCTATTAAAATTAATAGACTAAGGTGGCTAGGGCACCTTGAAAGAATGGACACTGAAGACCCCCAAAGACAGGTATTATATCAAGAGCTAGTAGGAACCAGGAAGAGAGGCAGACCAAGATTTAGATTTAAAACTCAAATCGAAGATGACTTGAGGAATCTAGGGTCAGAAATTGGAAAGCCAGGGCGAAAGATGGGGGGGAATGGAGACTAATTCTTGAACAGGCCAAGATCCACTCAGGGTTGTAGAGCCAAAGATGATGATGACTCATAAAATATTTTATAGACTTCAAAGTAGCCCACGACTCTTTAAGTAGAAGAGAAATGTTCAAACCAATGAAAGAGTATAACAAGTTCAGAACTTGCAAAAGTATTAACATGGCGGATGTTTATAAGACCGAGGTTAAGTAAGTCATTTGTCAAATTTATTTTCTTTTCTACCACCAATTATAAACAACATTTTTTATAGATTACAGATCATGTTTACAATTTTTATTTCATATTTTTTTTCTACTGTTATTATTCCTGTAATACGTTGCCTTTGGTTGGTAACCTCGATATGTTTTTTATTTCCTTAATCTTATAATCTTCTATACTCATTATATGTTCTCTTTTTTCTAGGAGAGTTTTCTTACTTTCTTTTTTGTGGTATTTACATTCTTATTCCCGTGATTATAAACTCCTGTTGTTCAACATTTCTTTATTTTTATATTAAGAATTATTTTTTATATTAAGATAATGAAAAAAACAAAAAATCTGAGAAGATGTAAATTATTTCTGTCAGTCGATATGAATTTGAATATATTATATACGGTAAGTGATCCAATTATAAGAGCTATCTGAAAAAAAATTATATGAACGGTAATGTCGTTCGTACAATTAACTCCATGATAGTGCCAGTGCCCGGTTAAGCCGACGCTAACTCGGTGCTGCTAACGCGACGACGTTTGCGCTCATATAAGAGAGTCCTAAGCGATTGCTTGTCAGCTTACGTCAGTGGGATACGAAAAGTAAATGGAAAAATACTTTTTAAATGTAAAAAAATGAATTAGATCTCAGAACAATGTCCACAAAAGCAAACATTTTTATGAATAACTAAGCACTAACTATCTAAACGCACCGAAAATTAATGAGTAAGTCTATTCTACATGTTTTCCTTTACTTAAAATAATTTTTCATCATATTTTTGTATTAATTTCAGGAAAAACAGTGTCGAAGAAACCTGTGACAGAGACATTACCTGAAGAAACAACGCTGTATGATTCATCTCCAGAACAACATGCGATAGCGTCTGAAGGAGAAGCACTGATTAATACTGAACCTGAATCTGACCAACCTATATCCCCACCGTTCGTTAAAGCACCATTAGAAGATCGTTCCAAATATGAGAAGTTAACTCAGGGGGTGTATGATGCAACTTCGTCGACCAGCAGTTCAGACGAAGATGTTAAATCAAAAAGAAAGAAGAAAATAAACATTCCAGAAAAGCTGCATTCAGTCTACAAGACAGTAGAAATACCGATAAAGAATCTGAGGTCCGATAGAAATAAGACAGAAAAGAAGAAAAAAAAGAAAGAGGAGAAAGTTGCCGGTAATGAAAAAAGCGCCGATAAGGGATCTGATCCTGAATCGGATGACGATTCTATTGGATCTGCGAGCGATCTACGAGAGGAAGAAGATAGTCGTAGACCCGCTAAGGATGATGCTATCAGTGAAACCATCAGTGAAAGTATCAAAACTTGCGGATCGTCCGCTTACCACGCCGAATGCGAGAGCATGGCAACACATGAAGAAGACTGTACTAGTAGAATTATAAGGACCAAACAACGACAAGAGACTAAAAAAGCAGCTGTCCAATCTGAGGACATGCTCTTCGTAGGGCACCAGTATGGAGAGAAACCGTTGTTGATGGATGACGAATTAGACTCGGACTGTGAAACCAAACAGTATAATAATAAATGGGCGTCGAAAGATGTTCGAACGAATAAGGCTGATATTTGGATAGCTCCGTCTAGTAGCTTTGAAGATAATAATGACGTTTTTGCTTTAGCTCCCTTTTCTAAATCAAAGCCCAAGCATGATTTGGAAGATAACCTTCAAACGGACCAAAATTCCATTGTACCGAAAACTTTTGAGGACGACTTTACAGAAAGTGGTGAAAATCAAGTAGTTACTGCCAGTACACCGAACTCAAACCCTTTTTTAGAAGATTTTATCCCAGCAGAACCATCCTTACCAACACCGAGCATTGAAGTCACTAGTCATAAACTAAACTACTTCGATGAAGTCAACTTTCAACCCAACTTTGAAGCATCTTTCCCGGACCTACCCAAAGAACACAGAGCCTCATATGAAAGTGTGGAGTTACGGGTCAAAAGAGAACCTATTGACTTTTCCAACAGGGGCAGCGCAGAACTTCGTGCCAAAAGAGAACCCATAGAATTTTCCAACAGAGGTAGCATAGAGCTTCGCTCCAAAAGGGAACCCATGGATTTTTCCAACAGAGGTAGCATAGAGCTTCGCTCCAAAAGGGAACCCATCGACTTTCCTAATAGGGGCAGCATAGAGCTTCGTTCTAAAAGGGAAGTCATAGATTTTCCCAATAGGGGCAGTGTAGAGCTTCGTACCAAAAGGGAACCGATGGACTTTTCTAACAGAAGCAGCGTTGAACTTCGTGTCAAAGGAGATCCTATCGATATCCCGAATAGGGGAAGTTTTGAACTCAAACGTGACAGTTATGACAGTCGGAGGGAAAGCTTTGAACCGAAACGAGAGAGCCTAAAACGGGAAAGTATGGAACTGTCTAAAAAAGAACATCTTTTCACAGAACTGCTTCTACCAAATACTTACGTCAGTAAGAATTTACCATCTCCAATGTCTTCTCGGAGCAGCTTAAAACTAGAATTTATAGACGAGAATCAGACTCAGGATGGTGGTCACAAAAACAAGAAAGAAAAAAAGAAGGATAAAGATCAGAAAACTAAGTATTTCTTGATCGATGATAACCTCTCTGACGACAGCAGTACATTTGCAGGTAAACCGAAGAAGTCGGCTAAAGCCGACAAGACTTCGAAGAAAGCTAATTCCAAGTCGAAAAAATCTTCTAAAGACCGAAATGACGGTGGTTTTAGTAATATGAGCTTTGAAGATTTCCCTTCAGACGACAGAGAGATAATCGAGAGTTCCATCATGCCTTTCGAAGTACTGAGGAGTCCCGAGCAAGAACAGAAAAGCTTCGGAATGAAACGAATTGGCAATCCATTTTCCTGATTCTGTTATTACGATGCCAAGAGTTATTTATTGTGGATTTGTTACTATACCATTCTAGTTCATAATATTTTAGTACATATGAAGAGTAGCTATTTTGAAACTTATCAGTAATGATACCTTAGGCTGTGCGCTTATTTGCAGCTAGAGTTTTATTGTTATTGCGATGCATAGCGTTTACGTTTGACATCTATGTTTTTCTCGTAAGTCTTTTATATCTTTTATATTAAAACTCGACTAATATACAGTAAAATACCTCTATGAGTGTATGTCGAATATTTTGAAAAAAAAACTACATTTTGTTTAGTTTCGGTTCGGTTTAGATCAAACTTTAAGCATTCCACTAAGTATTAAATTATTCATGAAGATCTTGGTAATTATGTATATAGTAGACCACTAAATCAGGTATTGACACGTGGCAGATGTCAGTATTGTTAAAATGTGCCGCCTTTGGAATAAAAATCGGCTTGTTTCAGTATTTTTACAAAAGCTGATGAGTATTGCTAAATATTAAGGGTTAACTTGCTTTACTGACCCCCATATGTCTGTATGTATGTGTGTGTATCTACGTGTATGTTTGTTATGCAAAACACGCTTGAAATCTTGAAATTAGAGGTTCAAATATATATTTGCGGTGAGAAGGCGCCGTGGATAGCACAAAAAGGAGATTTCGTGGAATATGTGTAGAGTACTTTTTGATAACATATATAATGACATCAGTTGATTTTGTTAGCTATTCCCAATTGCAAATCCTTTGCATTTTGCATGTAATGAAAAAATATATTTGGGCAAGTTAAAATTAGGATAGAACAAGGCAGTAAGTCATTTTAGTGGGATTGTATACCGTGACAAGGGAGTAATGCTATGGTTTATCTGGAATGTGACGAGGGAACATATATCGCTAACCGGCTGACGCAATTTATGCTCCCTCTCAAAAACCACGGGAGTTACAGCAAACAAGATCAAAGCTATCACACATCATCTAATAACATGATGCATGATAACTTTCTGTTATATTACCATTTTCTAGTAAAATACCGTCTGTAGCCTTTACCGAATCTCGAATGAAAATGTATGGAACCAAACTAACCAAGATAATGTCATAGAGCAAGTCGGAGAAAATGGTGATGATTGGGCCATACCGCCTGAAGACCTTCAGATGATACTGCCAGCACAGCGCTGGATTGAAATCCTAAAAGCCGACGGAAATTAGGCAGACCTAAGAAAACTTGGAAAAGGTCAACACTGGACAAATAGAAGGAAATGGGAAAATACTGACATGAAATTTCGCTGAAATGATTTATTAATATAACGTGAATTGTATCAACCAATGATCGTAATAACACTGGTACTCTACTCTTGTCTTAGTGCAAGTGATAATATTTTAGTCTGCTTGTTTCTAGAGTTGTCTTGCCAAAGCTAATGGTAGATACTCTGTCCAAATATCAACTTACAAATAATTGTCTACCAGCTCTCGGTGTATAAATTTTGGTAGATATTATACTGTATTCAACGGCCTTGAAAAATGTATCTACTTTATGTCCATTTCCAACCCAAAACTAAATAATACAAAGACAGCGCATTTGTTAACGCCTTCTTCCACACTTTCAATTAGATTGTCGTAATTTTGTTTTCTCAAGGTTTTGATCATTGTAATTGATATACATAGATCACCTTCACTGTCCTTTGGTTCTAAAATTTGTTGGTTTATATCATCTATCTGTGTGAAAATGCAATATTCCCATTCTATTCTTTTTTGCGTTGTTGGAAACATGAATTATTTCTGAAAAGATCCAAATGATTTACTCGTCATCGAACGAAAGTCTTAAAAAGAATACTTTGCTCAATGTATAAAAATTGCAACTGGAGAAGGCCTACAAGATACCGCTGCATATGGGAAAAGGAGTAGGAGCAGGTCAAGTCTGAGGTATAGACGCTGATGCCAGGTAGATTGGTACAGTGAATTAGCAAAAGACGAAAACGACTGATTGCCACTAGTTTTTAAGCTTTAATATGTTTTATTACGTTTCACATCTTACAATAATCACAAAAGATACAAGGCTAACAACTAGAACTCTGATATCTATGGATGCATCCTTACATACTGTCCATGCTATCTTCTCATCTGAAACTTATTGTGAAGCTACAATGTCTAGATATAACAGATCTGTAATCTTTGGTGTTAAATTCAGTTGTATTATTAAAAAAAAAAATTCGAATATGTTATGTAACTTGTGATAAAATCATAGATGGCAGATGTACTAATGCTAATTATTATCATCTTAGATATTTATAAAACGTATTATAAAATTAAAGTACGTACTATTTACAAGGTTACGACGGATACGTAATACAAATTGGCAACTCTATTGAAGAAAATATCGAAATTTGTTATCTTGAGAAAATTATGTAATCACGTTAAGTATAATCATTTTGTTTTAAATATCTGATTTAAAACAAATTAATAAATTTTTGGGAGTGTCACATAAATTGTAAAGTATATTGTAGATTTTAGATGTGCGGATCCCTTTTCTTTCAGGATCCTTCTGTATAACCATAGCTCAAAAGCCTGAAGTTTTGATAGAGTTTCAATGTCCACGTTTCTACTCTGTACAGAAGCACTGAGTACACGTAACATTTAAATGTACCGAAAAATGGGAGAAACCTATGTTCAGCAGTGGACAGAAGAGGTTGCATGATGATGATTTTTGTTTCTAGGGTGAGGTCATGGTCAAGAATGCACTTTTTGCCTTTCCGCTGCGACATTTAATCTCTTCGGTATTGTCCCAAGACTCATTGATCATAGTTCCCAAGTAGTTGTACTGTGAGACACGTTCAATTTTCATTTGGTTCACATACAGATTTGCACCAGTTATGTTTTCCTTGCTGATGATCATTACCTTGGTTTTGCTGGTGTTTATATCCAGTCTATATGTTCTGCTTGTTTCCGATATTTTATTCATTAAGTTTTCCAACCCTTCTATGGTATTGGAAAACACTATTGTATCATCTGCATACCGCAGGTTATTGAGCTTGACTCCATTTATCCAGATGCCTTCAAAAATATCTTTTAGAGCCTCTTCAAAAACATGCTCTGAGTACAGATTGAATATCAGTTAAATATCAGTGAAATCAGTGAAATATCAGAGAATATCAGTGAAAGTATGCACTCCTGTCTCACTCCCCTTAAGGTTAAATTCCGAAAGTGGCTGCAGACTGCAGACCGCAGACTGCAGCGACAGTGTCGTCTGCGGTCAGACCAATTCCGAGCAGAACTGCACTGCATCTACAAAACAGCGACAACAGCATTACACGATGGGAATTTATAATAGTATAATATTAAAAGTCGTATAAGTAGGGTGTCAGACGCAATGAACAACGATGAATTAATGTTATATCTTTTGATGGAAGAAGATGACGACGATCTTTTACTTTTGCATTATAAAAGAAAAATGAAACCGACTAGGTCTCTATTTAAAAATAGACAATTTGAAAGGAAGTTATTCAATACTCATTAAAAATCATCTAATGGCTAACGAAGATATATTCAGAAACAGCAAAAATACGTGTTGTCATTCTGCGGTCGGCGACACTACTGGTTCTGGTGCAGTCCTGCGGTTTGCGGTGGCGACGTTCTGCTTGCGGTGGCGACAGTGCCGCTCTACTCGACATACAGCACATAAGAAACCATATGAACCAGTAGGTCTGTCGCTGCGGTCTGCGGTTTACAGTTTGCGGTCGTGTTCGGAATCGTACCTTTAAGATTTTGACCTGATCTGTATATTCTCCATCTATTCAGAGCACCGCTGATTGATTCCAATACAGATTAGCTATTATTTTTAGGTGTCTTCCCTCAATATCTGTCCTCTTCAGCACTTCCATCATTTATTCATTCCTGGCACCATTGAAAACCTTCTTGTAGTTAACCAAGCATGCAAAAACATCACAGCTGACATCTCTACATTTCTGAAACAATTTTTTTTTGAACCTATTCTCTATCCTTCCATTGTTGGATATAGGTCTCCCCCAGTTCTCTCCATCTTTCCCTATCTTGAGCTGTTCTCTGCCATGTGGGACCTCCTTGTTTCCTGATGTCATCTTTCCACCTCATCTGTGGTCTGCCTCTTGATCTCTTTGCATTGTATGGACGCCACTTTCCGATGGCATTGTTCCATCGTCCGTCTTTGAGACGTTCATTGTGTCCAGCCCATTTCCATTTCAGTTTTGCTGCTTGTTCTATCGCGTCTACTGTCTTTGTTCTGGTTCTGATCCACTGGTTACGTTTTCTATCTCTAAGTGATACACCCAACATTTGTCTCTCCATCGCTCTTTGTGCCTTCCTTATCCTATCCAAATTGGCCTGTGTAAATGTCCATGTCTGTGCCCCGTAGGTGAGCACCGGTATGATACAGGAGTTTCATAACTCTGAAACAATACCTCCACGCTAAATAAAGCATCCCTCATACCAACGGCGGTCACAAATCCAAACTGATTGGGTACATTTCCGGTAAATTCTTTTGTGGATGACTTTTAAAAACAGCTTCAGCAGATGGCTCATTAGGCTTATGGTCCTCTAGTCTTCGAATATTTTTGCTCCTGGTTTTTTTTGGGCAATGTTACGAACTCCGATTTGAGCCACTCTACTGGTATTTTTCCTGCCTTGTATATTTCATTAAATATTTCAGTTCTGCATCTAATAGTTTCAGCAGTTCTGCAGGAATTTCATCAAGTGCTTTTTATTTGTCAGTCGGCTGCCGTTATTTATTCTGGTAGAATTTCGTGACCTGAATTTTCTTCAATGGTTGGTTCTTGTATTGTTCTAAGGTCGTGGAAAAGTTTCTCTGAATATTCTTCCTATACTTTCTTTTAATCTCTTTGATTATGGCAAGATTGCCTTCATCATCTGTTATTTTTCCGCTTTTTCGAAACTTTCTAGCTATTTCCTTCACCTTTCAATGGACAATGGACATCATATCGGATCTGATACTCTTCTATTTCTTGAC